GGACCAATGAAATTCCTTATGCACATGGTTTATGCGTTATGCAAAAGTCTGTGCTCCCCGCTTAACGATCCGTTCAACTCAATCCGATTATCTCCTGAGACAGGCACCAAAATCCGATTGAGCTAGGGAGTTTTTTGAAATGCACCAACTGAGTACCACTGTTCGATCGGATTGGAAATCCGACCATTTGTCGTAAACACCCTCCGTATATACTGTGCTAATAGGTCTGTTCGCGTTACATGAAATCCCCAAATAATTTTGCACTTAAAGTGAGATAGATGTATATTCGGCTTTTAAAAAGAAAGAAAGCGAAGATGGTAAGTGCAAAAAGTGCAAGCAACGCGAACAGACCTAATGCGTTCTTAACAAAAAGTGCATAACTCCAGAGTCTACCAGAATCGACGTTCTTTTTCGATTGAACTTTTATTTCACACGCGCTGCTGTTTGTGAACCAGATATTAAAGCATTATGTTATTTACTTCTTTTTAATATGCACAAACGAATTTCTTCTGCAAGGAACCGATGGTAGAATCATGATTATTCTTAGCGTCGATTCAACTCACTTTGAATATTGTAGCATTAATTATGACACACGATCTGAATTTACGTATGAAACAGAATTATCTTGATGAATTATCTTAATCCACTGTTATACGGTTTAAATGTCGTCTGATCTTGCAACTAATCGCAAATGGCTGAAATTGATAAAGTAATCCTACACATTTTTATAATGTTTAACCTAAACGTTATCAGAAACAAATAGAATAAGCGTTGGGCCAGAATCAGACTACGCATTGTAGATTGAGATTGAAAGATGAATTTTGGCTAATCAAAATAATAGGAGCTAAAATTCCTTTATCCTTATTGGTCAAATTTCAATTTTCAATGCATAGTTCAATTCCAGCCTTAGTGGACCTTGCTTAGAAACTGAAGATGTGATTTTAAAGATACTTAGAATGATTTATAAATTTGTTAAGAGAAAAATTAGGACAGTTGTATAAAAATAATAAAACATATATAGATCTAGGTGTTTTATGTCAGGTAACTAAATAAACTAAAGATACTTTGAAAACTATTGTTTGTTAAAGAAAATAACTTTTCTTTGTTACAGAAAATCTTTGAGCAGCAGATTTTTTTTTTGGTATTTTACTTTACTCACTACTTATTTTGTATGTAGTTTATGTACAAAGAAAAAAATACTTGAGTCGTACAAAAACTAAGGATTCCCTTTTAATATATCCTAATATCATGAAACAATAAACAATACTCAGATAACATCGTACTTTAAGATATACTGTCATCAAGATGCATTGATTAAGATAATTATAAAGATTATAGCTGACCCATTTGCTGGTACCTTATCCAATAATATGGGTAAGTACAATTAACTAATATATAAATGCAACATTTAATGCTTTTAATACAATATTAATTACAACATACTGAAATTATTCTCTTACATTTGTCTAGTGATGGCAGGAAACGAAAATGTGCCAGGAGCCTTGGCAGATAATCCACTATCTGCGAGACTGCAATGGCTACGTCAGCACAGAGAAGTCTTACAAGGAAAGCTTGTCCAAAAAAATAATGAGCTGAAAAACCTGTGTATAGAAGAGGCAGAGTTAACTGGAATTTTACCACTGGAAATACCTCTGGAACCTGGCGAAAGTCCACCAATTTTTCGTAAAAAAGCGAGCACTTCCTTTATACATCCACAAAAATTGATCCCTAAGCTGAAGACATCTGATATTGTAAGATTTAAATGTAATGGTATAAAAATCACTATAAAAATATTAGATTGAATTATTGTCTATTTATGGCACACACATATGCAGGAGGAGTCTGAGTTGGAGTTGGAGAAGCAAATACAACTTGGAATTGTGGAAGCTGCATTGGGTGTTATCAATGATCCTACAGAAAGTAAGGCCACACGACGTAAACATAGGCTTGCTTATCAGCAAAGTCAGCAAAGACTGCAAGAGTTAGAGACACAGCTGAACTTTATTAGGCAAACCCGTGGTAAAACACAGCGTCCAACTCAATTTCCAGTAAACACAGGAAGTTACAATATGCAACCACATTCACATGTTAACGTAAAGCACAGGACAAAGAAACCACGACCACCTTTAGATAGTACAGGTATTGTGTGTATGTGTGTATGTGTGTGTGTGTGTGTGTGCGCACACGCGTGTTAGAGAAACATTATAATTACTTTCTTAATAATTATAAAAAATAACTTTTTAATCTATAACATATAATTTGTATACAATAGGAAATGAGATAACAAGTCCAAAGTCTATTGGAAGAAGTATTCTTCATGAACCTGGTATAAGTTTGAGTCCCTTAGCACCTGAAAACGAATCAAATACTTACAGTGGACATGGATATAAGGAGCAATTAACTATACCGAGTGTTTGTAATCATCACCATAGTGGCACGTATCCCGGCATAAGCCCAGTCGAACAACCGAATATTAAAATTGTGGAACACGATCACAATGATAATCACAACGTCTACATTTTACCCAATCAATATCGCGCGCGTACGTATTCTCACGGAAGTGGCGGATCTTGTGGACATTATCAGGATACCGAGAGAATGTATCGACCTTATGTGCCGAACACATATACCGAAAACGAGCGTCAAATGCGCTACCTTAAATTCCAGCATATGCAAAAGCAACAACAATTGCAGAATCATATCCAACAGCAGACCCACAGACTACAATATTCAAATTCCTTTGAATACAAGCATCTCGATAATGCGGATATCTTACGGCGAAGTGGACAGGGAACCTATGATAGAGATTTTCGTTCATCTCATTACTTGCCCATCGATTACCAGGCCTACTATAGGGACAGTGCACAGTCTCAGCAGATTTTACAGAGACGAGATCGTGATTCATCATCTTGCGTTAAGAACACCTCGCGGCACAGTGGTGGCAGTATATCAATTGAGGCTCCATTACCACCTGGTTATTGGATGCGCCATAATGACGATATTCACTGGGTGAGCATAGACGAGCCCGACAGATTCGGTAGTTTAGATCGCAGACGTCGAAATGCTCAACACAACAGTGTCAGTGAGGCGAATCTAGACACGCAATCGCGTTATCGCACGATTGCTATTACATGTACTAAAAGCTCATCGAGCAGCAATGTTACCGCGTCATCTCATCAGCATCCCTCCGTTCATTTACTGCCGTTGTCCGAGCAACAAACACCAACAAATAAGATGCTGCTGCGTACACAATCATTGGGAAGCGTAGAGACCTGGAACTCAAGTCATTTGCATGATTCGCACGATGATAAGGATGCGTCTACGACGGAATACACCAATAACAATCGTAAGAGTCGTCAAAAAGAATGGTACGAAACATCATTAGATGCAGGAGTAAGTGTAGGTTTAGATCATAACCTGATTACCGCACGAAAAAATGTGCATTATCAATCGAGTCCACCACTTGCTCGTATCAAAACTGTTACTATTAACGAGAAGGCAAGAAATAATCAGACAACAAGCGGACCGCCGCTGCCGGTGAATCCTGCAAACCGTCACAAGAAAGATAAGCCCAGGGAGCAGCAGCACGCAGTGCAACAGTCTCATCCTCATTACAATCAGTCCACGACCAGGTCGAAGGTATTGGAGATACCAGCCGAATCAAAGCCATCCATTGACGTCTGCGATAATGTGATACGACCATTAGGCTCACCGCAAAACTGTACGGTTGTACAGCCAGGAAAATATCAACCATATAGGGAAGTGACAAAGCCTTTTGAAATGTCGGACTTTTACAAGTATTCAACAAAATTCCGCAAGAGAAACGAAGCTGCCGCGCAATCTGAGGTCGGCAACGGAGATTCCCCGCTCCAGGAGAACCATCCCGCAGAAACAGGCACCGCTGATTTATCTAGAGATCCTAATTCTTATAATTTTGGACCAAATGATAATGTTACCGCTAGTCCGGTACAAAGAAGACTCTATCAGCCGGTACAACGCATGACATGTCAACCTTATCTCTCATCGTTGAGATAATTGTTTGCGCTCGCGTATATAAAATTTATTCATGCATGTCACATTATCACATAAGTGTTTACAGGATTATTCATTCAGAGATGATAGGCTGGTCCTATCGATAAATATTTTTTTCGTTCTTTAATCAAACAATTCACTAATTGCAGCATACGAACAGTGTCATGTATTAATGCTTCTACTCCATGATTTTTACTTGATAAAATGAAACATTATTTGGTTTCAAATTAATCAGAAAATGTATCGTTAAACATTAATCCATTAATACATTAGTAACGAGATCTGTATATATATTTATATAAATATACATATTTCGAAGATATAATTATACAGTTTTGTTCGTATAATTTTCATTTCTCTTTAGAGAATCAATCTCATTTTATCGATATCATTCTTTACGTATCTATCAAACTGTAACATATAAGCATTTTTATTTTAAGAAATTTTACTATTTGTATTTGCATATGTATGAGGTATGTTCCAAAAAAGTAGAGAAAGGAAAAATAAGGAATTGAAGGGATGCAAGGATTAAATTTTGATCTCGACTTGATTAATTAATATTAGGACCTGAATAGTGCCTTTCATTAATGGAAGTATCAAGTGGATAATATAATTGTATTTTTAAATTACATTTTAACATAATTCAATAATTTTGAAAATTATTCTCCACTTGTTGTGACTTCTGATATAATTGTATCTATAATTGTGTTCAGCGATGCATATATGTATGTACATATTTTTTCTACAAACAAATAAATAGCTGTAGTTTTTTAGAGATATCATTAGATTGATAAAATATTAATGTTGGTTGTTAAATACATTTTTTTCGATTATATCATTAAATAATATTGAAAATTTGCAGTTTTAATATTCTTACATTCTAATTTTAGTTTTATAAATTCTATCAAGAGTATTTCTTATGACTCAACATGATATTTTTAAAAATGTATTTTATATATTTTACCATGGACGGTTTGAAATAATAATATCTAACATTTCTATACAAGAAATAATAACAACGTGTGTTCTTAATGTCGCGCGCTTGGCTTAGCGTCGAGACACTATCCGTGTCTCCAGATCATAGTTAATAATATCTGTATGTACGTGGATGATATTTTTATATAGAAATCATTTTTAAATATGCGCGTATATATTATATTTATATACTGCTCGGCGTATAATATTGAAAGATAAAATAAATCTCATTAGAGATCTTGTTTGTTTACCACAATATGTTCGCCGGGAAGCTTGATCTATACTTGATTCATGCGATTTATGTAACTAAAGCGCTTCTTCTTATATGTATGTCACACATACAATTTGTATTAGAATTCTCTTCCTATAAAAATAATATACGCTGCTACTGTATAGTATACGCATTATCTGAAATAATTCAGATAAATTTATTTGATCCAAAAATGTTGGAAACACTTCAGCATCATAGACATAGAAAATAAAGGCCTTATGTTAGCTGTGAATAATTATGTGTTGCGCATTGTGTGCTATTTAAAAAAAACTTTTTGTACTGCTTTATACAATTTGTGTCAATAAAAACGCTAATTTAATTATTCACCTGTATACATAGCGAAAATTTAAACAAGCGAAAAACAGCAAAAAAAATTTTTAATGACAGGAGCACTAAACATCTTTTGAAAAAGAATTTAAAATATATAACAGAATTATATTAATATCGTGACATACGTGACTGTGTCGTTTAAAGACAATGGAAGAAAATTCATCCTCAGCACGAAAGTATGAAACAAGGGAAAAAGGGTCAAAGAAAAAGATAACTATCGAAGTAGATGAAGATGATCCTTGTCTCAAAAAGAATGAGATTCACGAGGAAGAGATATTACGTACTCCTCACGGGGTGGAGTTTGAACGGTCTCCTGGCAATGATCCGAGGTATATATACTTACGGTATTTATAATTAATCCAGGAATATTTTTTCTATCAATCGTGTTTTGCAGATTTCAGCAACAAAATCAGACGCGGAGATGTTTCGTAATGTATACTGACTTCTATCGCTGTGAGCATATTTTAGGTAAAGGTTCTGAAGCATGTACGTGGTTTAAAGAGGTTTTCACGTCCATATGTCCGAGGGCCTGGGTAGAGCAGTGGGATGAACTTAGACTTACAGGCAGATTACCTTGGCATAAATACAGAACTCAAGGCGATTTCCCCGGCAATAAATACGGCGAATAAAAAAAAAGAGAAAGAAACCAATCTTGTAAAACAAATTAAAAAGTTTTATATTTAAAATAAGATTATATCAACTATTATCATTTTGCTAATTAAAAAAAAGAAATACAGAAATTTAAATAAAGGCTATATAATACAGTGTATGAGATAAGGAATATATATAATTAATTTACACTCCAGATAAGAAAAAAATAACTTTTATTATACAGGTACAAGATTTATTAATATCAGGTAACTTATTGAAGTACGAAGGAAAAATTACTAATTGTCCGATGATCCGTAATTGCTGAACTTCTCTTCTTTTCAATCTTAACTCTTCTTTTTTTTTTTTAAATATGGTCGATAGATTCTTCTTCTTATCTTTATCACACTTGATCTTGCAGTTTATACACTTTTTTTCTTATAATTGTAAAGTAGATACACTAATAAAAATTTTCTTTGAACTTTCAGTAAAATACGGATACTTTTCAAGATCCCGTAGTAGCACGACTTTTTTAAAAGAGATCTTACATAAAAATGTAAGATTTTTGCGAAATAAAACAATTTCAGTATTGTGCACTAGAGCCTGTCTTGGATGAAGACAACTTACCGATCTTCGGGTGTTGGCTCTGCGTAACATCGTAACCTGCCTATATCGATATATCTACTTCCTAGAAGATAATCGATGATACCTGTAAATATGAAATCAAAGACATTTGCTTGAAGAAGATGATTAAAACTATTTTCTGTTCTTTCTTATATGTACGCGACTCTATCTTGTATGTAATATATATATTGTAAACGATTAGAATTTAGAAGTCAAGATATAATCAAGAAACTAAAAGCGCAAGCTTATGATATTTACGTATTAAAACGCTATCAATATATTATAAAGTGTGTGATCCACAATGACACATTTGACGAGAAATTAGAACCACCTTACGTCATGTTGAGTATGTTCGGTAGTATGTAATGTATTATTTCAGGTTTGATTCCTCGACTGGTGAATGTACTGGCAATCCTCGTCCCTGCAAATACCCATCATTTCATACGGACACAGAATTCCATGGGGATTGATGTTCCTGGCGAAAAGAGTAACAGAAACCACAAAAATCCTCAAGATTTTGAGCATAGTCCACAGACAATGGATGATCGCATACCGTAATTATCTTTCAAAAAAAGGAACACTCACCTTGGTTTCTTCAAATGTGTTAATATCGATATATAAGGTGCAATCGGCTTCGTCGTCATCGTTGTTGTATATACCGTTGTATTTATCGTCGTCGTTATTGTCGGCGATGACGATGGCAATTGTGGCAAGGCTTTTTCGTTAATCTCTTCATTGTGGTCTAGACTTGACGAAACAGTCGCTAATGATTTTAGTTCTAAAGGCGCGGGGAGATCATACTTGTCTGTTCTATTTTCTTCTGTGTGCTCATTATTTTGTTTTGTAGGACTACTTTGGTATAACTTTGGTTCAGAGGATAACACATTATCTTGGTTAAGAAACGTAACTTGTTCTTTGTTATGATAATCCAATGTACTTGCTGAAGTTTCCTCTCTATTTTCTGGTGTCGACTGGCATGGAATCACTTGCAAGAAATCCAATGAGGTTTCTATCGATAAACTCTTATTTTGATTAGAATGCGTCAAGCGAAAAGTATCTCTCCCCGATTCCGCTTCAATGATAGCTTCGTTATTCATTAGCTGTTCTTGCGACAAATTCTTCTCAATATATTTATCCTTAAATGATTCTGAAGTTTCTTGCAAAGTACTACAATTGGAATTTTCAGAAATATCATTAGATTGGAGTCGCTTTTTCTTGGTAAATTGACGCGTATGATTAGCAACCTCTTTGAGCTTATCACTTAAAAGTTGAGCTACCGCCTCTGGCAACCTAAAAGAACAATCTTTATAATCAAAACATTAAAAATAGAACGTAAGAATTTATTTCTTTATTTACATATAAAAACTAAATAATTAGTTATTAAATATTTACGCCACATATGCAGGCTTTCATATTTGCGTACTTGTAATTTTTCCCCATGAGTCGGTTACCTAGGAGCGAACAAATTCTAGACAGTTTGAAGCATTCACGTCGTCCAGCATTGATCTTTTGACGTGCTGTTGAAACTTTTGGACCCATACTGCTAACACGATCGCGCTGCTGTTGTAATCTTTCCTCAGCTATCTTTAATTGTTCTTTAAGTTTTCTCACTTCATTGGTCAAGGTAGTTTGCACTTCCTTCTCCATGTCCCATTGACGAAGATTCCCTGACATTTCTGCTAAATGATCTAAGACCATATACCTACATCACATATATAACATACTTTAATATGAAAGCTCTATTGTGTATTACTCAATACTATAATTTGGTTTTCCACAAAATTATTATGTATAATTACCGTTTTGCAACTAATTTATGCTCAGTTTCTCTCAAATATCGTTCTTGCTCCACTTCTGGAAGATTCGTCAAGGAATTCACTTCCGCTTTAACATCCTTTTTAAGCGTGTCCCAAATATCATTTGCAGTACCAGTATCGTCAACAACTGAGTTAGATTTATGAGAACCATTGATGCTACTATTATTGTCTACAAGTACAGATGTTGAAGTATCACAATTAATTTCTCGCTGACATTCTGCTTCATATTGGGAAAGTAACATTGTGCTTTCCAAAGTCTCTTCGTTTTCATTCGAAATCGTAGATGAATTTGAAAGTTTTACGGTAGATGTAGTAGAAAAAGTACTAGTATTACTATCTGCATCATTTAGAGTTTTCTCGGCTAGATTTTCTGTATTGACATCAGATTCGATCAGATTTTTACTTTGATCGACGCTTTTTGTCATATCGTGTTGTAAGATTAATTTGTCGTTTATAGTGACGACTCGCTCGATTGCGTTCGGTTTCAACAGTATTTGCATGTATTTACGATTTATCTCGTCTATGCTTAACGCTCTCAAAGCAGATCTATGTTGCTGTGTATCTTTCACAGATTGTTTCTCACGTAAATTCTCGACCATTCTACCGCTGGTGTGACTTGAAGCGGGAACGTTGGTAATTCGAATGCTGAGATCATTCGGTATTGCTTTCTTACAATTTTTAGTTTGCAAATGTGTGGAATTGGTATGTTTAGCAATATTCACTGAAAGTTTTTTGTCAGCAGACTTGCGACATTCGTTTAATTCTAATGTATCTTTTGTCACGTCATCGTTTTTCCTTCCAACTTCTGTTGATGATTCTTGAAAATTCTTCTCTGGCGTTTTTAAATTATCCTGATTTTGTTTAACATGTGCTTTCTTTTCGCACGGTGACAATTTTATTGGTGAGCTTGTTATGTTAGTGTTTGATAATTTATTGTTATTACTACTACTACTATTATTGTTACTTGCTACCTTTCTTTGCAGTTTCAACTTTTCGCGCTCCAAGATTTCCTGCTTTAAACGACGATACTCCTCTTGCTGTGATGCAGGAAGGTGCCTCACGGCCTGGAATAAAGTAAGAAAATCTGTAAAACAAATTAAGATTTCTACGATCAATTAGTTTTTTCTTCAGTAATAAATCCCCGAATTTTGCAAATCCAAATAATATTAATCTCTTTCTATAAATTACTTGCATAAAAGGATAATTAAAGGAAACATGCAATTGTCTTACCAGTGGCGTGTGCATATTAGATGAACCGTTAGCCGTTTGTGGTATATCTCGTTTTGTCGCTTGCGTGGATGAACTGGATGACTTCGCTGCGGCAGTCTGTTCTTGTTCGTTTCTCACCTCACGCAGAAATTTACTCAAGTTCTTTTCGAAATCGGCGGGTATTTCCTGATGCGTTTGGTGCTTCTCTGCGATAAGAACAGACTCATTTTTCTCACCTTCGGACTCGCTATCTGTATCAGAACCCAAACTTATCACAAATCGCTGAGTGTCAGGTGCATGTAACGATATTTTTGACACGTTAGCATTGGACCATACGTTTTCGCTAGGCTTCACATTGTTATCAATCTTTCGTAAATTCAGTCTTCTTTGCACAATCATATTCTGATATTTCTTAGCGTTATTCACCACCTTCGTACTCGTGAGTGCTTTTCTCGTGATTTTTTTCGGAGGACTCTTTAATGTGTCTAGACTGCTGCTTCTTTTCCTGCTACCATTTTGCACAGAGATAGATACATCATTAATTTTCTTCTTTGTAGTTTCTGATAAAGATTTCAATGGCAATGGCTTCGACGTCAATAACGAAGCATTGTTGCTTATTATGCTAACCGTAGATGGTATGGTACCTGTCAATGTATGATTTAGTGCAGATGTTTGGACATTCGTTACAGCAGAGTTTGTAACCGAAATAGCTGGAACAATTGGAGGATTGTTCATATCTGTTGATTTCGTTCGTTTTAAAGAAGCCAGTAAAATGGCTCGTAATTCGTTCTCATCCTCATCAACGCTTTGTCTCCTACTAATACTTTTTGCCGTATCGGTAACTTTGCTAACTGTGCCAGAATTGGAATTGTTCGGCGCGGGATTTGTTGATAAACAATGAGATTCTATGTGTTCTTGCGAATATTCGGCGAATGTTGAGGATGTTGTATGATTGTCCTTGTCCACATCTCTCTTTTCAATCATAACATCATCGAAATTTATAGATTCTTGTATATCAGTGATACTTTGCAATTTTGACGATTCTCCACTTTCTATCAAAATTTTCTGCGTGTTAGCATTATCATTGCTCTTGTTCTGATCAGATTCAATCGCAATGTGGTCTAAAGTAGATACATTCACAATTGCATCTCTGTTTATATCAGCATCCAAACATGGGCTTTTTTCATTTTCAAGCAATTGTGTATTTTCTCTTTTGCGTTTCCTTTTCCCGCGTTTTCTTCTTCCGCGTTTCTGCCTCTTGCGAACTGGAGTAGCTTCATTCCCTGACGATGTAACAGCAATGTCAGATTGTCCCAGCTCAACTTCCTCATTATCTTTCTTGGATGAATCTGTTTGATCCTCTGATGTATCTAAAGATTCATTTACCGAATTGTCGAACGTAGGAAGCAACAAAATAGGCGTAGATTTTTTCACTACTTGCAATGTTATCGGTTTGAAGATGCTGCTATTCGCGTCTGCGGCGTCAATGGTTACTGGTTGCATCTCAGCATTCTTAAAAGTCGGCTTTGGCTCTGGCTGCAACGTTTCATGTTTCTTTAAACATTGTCGCAGTCCCTTATTCGATTTCAGTATTGGCGCGGGTACCAGCTTTCTATTGATCAACGTAGGTATCTTATTCATATCTTTAGTAACATCTGGAATACCTTGCATATATAAAGGTTCCTTTAATGTTTTTTCTACAGCAGCTTGACATGGTGCTGTTTCCTTTGGAATGTATTCCATGGCCGGTAAATTTCTGTCATTGCCAATAGGAGAATTCAATGGATCCACAGATTCCTCTGGAAGATCATCGATCGTTATCATCGATTCATTCGGCGACATCGATTCGGCGTATTTAGCGGTGTACGCCGTTGTCAGAGCATTTACAACGAAGTTAAATGGAGGAATTGTCTTCATTTCGGGATTATTATTATTATTATTTTTAAATGTGGTATCCACATTCACAAATACAATACTATCCTTGACAGGTTGCTCCACGATTTGCTGCATCTGAAGCGGAGAAGCAAAAGTGCCATAGGAAGAGACAGGAGGGGTGAGAAGATCCTTGGACATTGGAAGATCATGCGTATCTGGCATATTCGTTAAGGAATAAGTACCTTCTTGACAACAAATTCCATCTATTAGATCACAAACGACATTTTCTGTAACACAACGTAAATTTCTGTCGTTGCCGTGAGGATTCTCGAGACCTTTTCCGGTTACATCACTTAAATCCGAATGAAAGGCCTCGTTATTGTACTGCGATGGCGAATGTGCATAGAATTGCGGCTTACTTGGAAGTGCCTGGTAAGGCAAGTAAGTGTCATTATAATAGGATATGACGCTATTCGATGTAAGTTCATCCTGTGCGTCGTCAAAGACCGGGCTACTGATGTTCTCGTTTACGTTAATAAACGATACATCAGATGGTTCGATATCAAGCAATGCTGTGTCGATAGGTACGTTCTCGGTAATCTTATCGGTTGGCGAATATGGCAGTTTCTCTTTCTCTCTTTCAATGTCAGTATCCAAGTCCATGTCTTCAATGTGATTACTTTCAGGTGACGGTGTGCATGGCGGTGACGCATATTTTAATAAATCATCGCTAGGCACGGGTATGTCATCGAGAAAACTCGAACTGAACGGACTCTCACTGCGGGTGGGTCTCTTGGTCTTAATACCGCGTTGAACCCGATTCTGATGCTTTTTCATGACTGCTGAACGCAGAGCGATCATACGGAGTTGTAAAGCCTCCTCGTCCTGGTCATCATTAATTACAGCCAATTTCTTTTCTGATTCTAGATCTATTGAATGCTCCGAAGATCTACTAGATTTTTTCTGCTTTGTCTCTAACGCCTTTTGTCGCAGCAACGCCAGATCGTCCTCATCGTCGGCATCGTTGACTGTCTCGGATTCAACTTTTCCCTTGAGATACACGTGGTCGTCGCTACTGGCTCTGTTTAATATATTCGATAATTTCTCCTTCAGTGACGAAGATTCCTTACTCCGTGTGATGCTCGGTTCCGACGCATGAGTTCCTATGGAATCCAGATGCTTCACCTTTTTCAATAGTCGTGTCACCTCACCGTGTCTGTCGACATACGAACGAGTAGACGGCGGCAAGCTCAGTTTCGACGGTAGTCTCTTCACTGCTTTCACGGGTGAATGACGACGGACACTACGTTTCGGCGATCTGACCTTTCGCGGGGATTTCTTTAGTATCAGAGATCTGGAATGATTCAGCGGAGATCGAGAAGATCGAAATGACGATCGTGCTATCACTGGCGACCTGTATCTTTGAATCGGCGATCTCGAGATCATCTTTGATCTGCCACTTGATCTGCGAGTTGGACTTACTTCCCTATATATTTTCATCGTGCCATCTGTTACAGACAGTTCGACGGAGGTTGGAGAAATCAATTCATCGATAGTGAAGGATTCCCTTTTCTTTCTTTTTTTCTTTTTTATTTTGGCCTTTGATCGATTGGATGTATCTGTAAGACCAACGATTTCCATGTCACTGTCGCTAGAGATTGGTACTAAGTCGTCATTTTTCTCTTGTAACGTTGATGCCATATGCTTTGTTGCGGCAAATCCTGTTTCTCTGACATGGTGGCGGTTTTCCTTTCCTTTGACTGGATCTTATAAAATAAGATTAACTGCTACTTGATTAAAACAATATACTAGCTCAAATAGATAGTAATTTTAATTATATTTATTCATTAAAAGATATATTTTTCGTTATATATATACAGAATAGTAAGATTTTTTTTTCAAAAATAACTTAAAATAGGAATCTCTATAAAATTTCTGTATCTAGTTATATTATAATCAATGAAACCCACACTTTATCCAAGAGATATCCTGAGAACATCTTTAAGATTCAGAAGACACAGAACTGTTTTCTGGACGTTTCTTTAGGATATTTTTTGGAAGTTTGTGCTATATGAGAAATTAAAAGCAAAAGTATGTATAGAATATTGTAGCGACAGAGAGGGAGAAAGAGAAAGAAAGAGAGTGTAATCAAAAAAGACCATATCAAAATACATTTTTGTTAGGAAAGTATAATTGTGACAAAACCACAATAATTATCACTTCTTTATATTATATTTATATCTTCGAAATGTACATATATACAGGGTGTAACTAAATTATCGCACTTGGAGTATACCATGAGATACAGGACGAGAATCCAAGTAAAAAAGTCCTGAGTCATTTTTTGATACGAGCTTTTAGTTCGTTGTTATACGATGTTAAAGTTAGCAAATTAGCGACCGAGTATAGAAGGAAGATAGGGACGTAGCAAGGCGGAGCGGAGCTGACGATCGCGGCGGGAGAAGAACAACGGTGAGCAGCGAAATG